CAGCATGAATCAATTCGTAACAATTTTTGGGCCAATGTGATAGGTAGTAGGGGCATTTCTCTCAAAATGCGCCAGTCCTGAGGTGTAGGAGGAGTGCAGAGGGAAACTAAGAGAGAAAGATGGTGGACCAGGTAAGCAAAATTGAGCACAAACAAATGCTTTTTCTCCATAAGAAATGACCCACTTGGAAGGTGCTATCAAGATCAAATAAGGCATTAGATCTCAAACCTGGTAGCATCACATGGGAGGTCCTGTAAAAATGTAGATGCCCTGGCCCCACATTTGATGAACCAGAAGAGCCAAAGGTCAGGCCAGAGAATCTGCATACTTTTGCAATTAGATAATAGCCAGTAACCACTGATGTCTGAAATCCTACCCTGCACTGAAAGGTCACACATTAGATTCCCGATCAGGGCACATGCCTGGGCTGTGGGTTCAATCCTGGCCAGGGTGCATATGGGAGGCAACTGATTGATGTTTCTCTTTTTCTCCCTCTCCCTTCCTCTCTCCCTAAAATCAGTAACAACATATTTTAAAAAAATAAAATCCCAGTGGATGTGTCACCCCATAGTACCCTGGAACCAGCCCCACACCCCCTTCCCCTCCTCTTATGCAGAACCTAGGCCAGTGATGGCGAACCTATGACACGCATGTCAGAGGTGACACACGAACTTATTTTTTTGGTTGATTTTTCTTTGTTAAATGGCATTTAAATATATAAAATAAATATCAAAAATATAAATCTTTGTTTTACTATGGTTGCAAATATCAAAAAATTTCTATATGTAACATGGCACCAGAGTTAAGTTAGGGTTTTTCAAAATGCTGACACGCCGAGCTCAAAAGGTTCGCCGTCACTGACATAGGCCCACACCAGGAAGAGATACACAACCTCCTGAAATGACCTATTTCCCTTTCAGGCACCTCTGAGATCCTTCCCACTGCTGTGCCAAAATATACTTCAGTGTACTTTTTGCTCGTGATTCACAGGTCTGCTCTCTGGAGTAAAGCAGAACAAATCTAAATTTTCACATGACAGACAAATGTGTGCAGATAACTATCATTTTCCTTAAATCTTATCTGTACATAGGAAATAATATCCCATCACTCCATCAACATTGCCTTAGGACATTTTCCAGTTCAACCAACATCCTGTACAGCCCACTCAGAACTGCATTTTACTAATCATGCTTTTCAGAACAATTCTCTTCCAAATCAGCAGCAAATAGTAGGGAATTGGGCATACCCCTGAATGCCTACTATCCTTTGTCAATTTGTTTTATTTACTTTTTTTCTGCCCTGACATTGCTATCTTATTTTCAACACTATTTTTTATTTTTAAAAAGATTGTGTTCCACATCCAGTATGATAGCACGAGGAGCTCTGTAGATTCAATTCTTTAGCAAAACTGGTGGAAAGTATTTTTTCAAAATAACTTAAAGATTTTGGGAATGCTCCCCAGGGAATACAGCAAATGAAACATTTCAAGAAAAGCTGCTAAAACTTGGTTAAGAACAGTCTGTGGTACTTATACCAATACCCCTCTCTCCCAACTCCCAGCTCCGTCAGACAGAAACTCCACTCCAATGAGTGGAGCCAGGGACACAGGCCTCCCTCTCCCACTCAGCTGCCAGTCCATTGGCTGGCTTCCTGGAAAGCACATCGGCACTTCTCATCCTAACTCCAGCTACCTGATGCAAAGGTGGTTATAGGCCAATACAGCTGAGAGGTGGGGGCTCCCTCCTCATGCTTATCCCTCCTCGTAAAATGAAAACTACTAAGACTACTAGGGCTCTGATTGCCACTGCCCTACTGGAAAGGCCACCATGCCACCAGGAAAGGCAAGCTAAAAAGACCTAAAGCAGTGGTGTCACTCAGAGAAAAGCACCCCATTGTTCCCAGCCCCAGAGTTGTGACTCAGAGATTTTGCTTGGGAGTGAAGGTGGGAGGAACAGACTGGAATATGGAGAGCTCCAGGCCTCTTCCCAAAGGAACTGACTTCATTTGCAACAGCGTGGAGAATGAGGAGTTTGAGCCAGGAATGCTTTCAAAAAAACAGTGAAGGACGAGGAGAAAGGGAACTGGGAGGAAATGGGCAGATTTACTGGAGATAGAGGCTGAACTGTCTACCACTACTTGGTCTCAGAGAACCAATGAAAGAGTTGAAGGAAGTTATCCTGGGGTCAGAACTAACTTCAAATATTGACCTCAGGAAGCAGCTCTTCAAAGAAGCCAGAATTTGATCGGATCAGTATGGATCAACAAGAAGCAACTTGTGCCCCAGGGCACTTTTGAGAACAATAGAGCAATCCAGCTGGCAACTAGTGGAGCTGAGCAGCTGGATGTGGAAAAAGAAAATCAAAGAAAGGCCTGTTCAAATCAGTATTATCCCAGAGTGATTCTGGGCACACCCAGGGCTGTGCCCCAGAAGAGCATCAGCAGAGGCTTCACACAGTTGGGGAGAGTGGGACTTTACTAACTATTCTAGCCAGTCACAAAACAGTAATGCCTAAGGCCACTTGTCTCTCACCATACTGTATTCTAATTTCCTGTTTGTATGTCTATCCTGTAAGCCCCTTGAAGACAGGGGACATTGAGCCTTATTACTAACTACAGACTCTATGTGAAGTTGTGCAGACCCTGCCATAAATCTGCTTGCCCCCTCCCAATCACTCCAGCTTCATCAACAGTTCCACTGCTTTCCCAGTCACTGAAGCTTACTAACTAGCAGCCACCCCAGCTTTGTCCCTCAGACCTAGACAGTCACTAAGTCTTGCTGATTGCTATTAATACAAGTCTGTCCTGCCAGCCCTTTCTATTCATTCTCACTACCACCATCATATTCTCTTTACTGGTCTCTCAGTTTTCTCTTTCTACAACTTCAAATAATGCTTTGAATACTCATAAAATAACACTTTGCATACATAACTTCAAGTCAGCTGCCTTTCAAGCTCTGTATGACAGTTCCTATTTACACATCCAAATGTTTTTATCTTGAGGGGAGGTATCTTCTCTTATTCACCTTTACCTCAGCAGTACTTTACTGCTACAGTAGATACTCCAATGAGCTGCATTAAATTTATGAAACACATGCCCTGGCCAGGTGGCTCAGTTGATCGGAGGGAGCATCACCTGGAGCACCAAAAGGTGGCGGGTTCAATTCCCTGTCTGGGTATGTATTGGAGGCAACTGATTGATGTCTCTCTCCCACTCTCTAAAATCAATTTTTAAAAATTAAAAAATTATGAACCAGAGATTTACTTCATTTTGCCTGTATCACTGCTAATGTCCTATCCTCTTTTATTTATTCTTCTCTTGTTTAAAGGCCTACACAAAGTACATGCATCATATTATGTTTTATTGATCAAAAAACCATTGCAGTAAATTTAACATTGAAGAAAGCACACTATTTTACTGCCAGCATCTACCTAAGATGTTAGCAAGTAACACCTCGGGACTGGTGCCCAGGCTTTACCTTCATCTGTGCCAGCTGCTGCTGTTGCTGCTGCTGCTGCAGCCTCCGCAGAGCCTCCTGCTGCTGCTGCCGCTGGCGCATCAACTCCTTGTGCCGCTGGAGCTCCAGCTCTTTCCTCTTCCTCTCTTCCTCCTCCTGCCGCAGTCTGGCTGCCTCCTCTTCCATTCGCAGCCGGTTCTCCTCTAATCGACGCTGGGCTTCTTCTTCTTCTCGGGCCCATTTTGCAGCCTCCTCTTCCTTCCCAGGAAAAAGAAAAGAAAATTTAATTGTTTGGTGTGGTTTTTTAAAATCTGAATCACTTCTGAAGTGACAGAGAAAGGCAGAAACTTTATTTATGATGATATAAGGTAGAGTTAAATACTCTTTTAAAATATATTTAAAGTAGCCACAAAGGCCTAGCATGCTTACAGGATACATTTTCATTGGCTTGCCAGTTCTACATAAAAGGAATGTCACTTTGAATATTTGTGATAAGTACTGATCTCTAAGTGATCACTGCCAGCTGCAGGGAAGTCTCCTGGGAACTGTTCCAACATTCAGGTGAACTGCTGCCAGGACCTTGCAGGGATGTTGATGACCAAGGAAGTCTCAGCCAGGGCTGGAACCAGAGCAACTTCACAAGAACACTTCATTCAGTCCCTGGCTCTCACCCATTGTGGCCCACAGGTTCCTTGGAAGAACTCTCCTCAACCCACCCTCTACCCCTCTGGCTGCTGGTAATGGCAGAATAACATGGTTGGACTAGAATTAGATAGTGCTAATTGTTGCAGAATCTTGGGACTTTATTAAGCAGCACTGAATTGTACACTTTCAAAGAATGAATTGAGGCACACCCTCAGGCAAAAGTTGTCAACTTGCAGATCTCACTTTTGGTTTTTAAAGAGTATGTCTTTGGATTTCTTCACTGGTGGTCTATTTTTTTGTTTGTTTTGCTTCTCTGATATTTAGCTCAGCTTTTATAATTACATGTGGGACGGTTATTACAAAAATAGGAAGAGCCAGGTAGGTCTCTTTTGGCAATTTTTCAGCAACCTGAAAAAGACAGGCTATCTGAACACTTTCTTCATCACTAATTCCCAGCTTCAAGTAGCAATGAGAAGAGTAAACCATCTGGTTACCTGCTTGCGTAACAATTCTTCCTGCTTCCGCCTTTCTTCCTCTTCTCTTCTCCTCTCCTCCAGCCTCCTAAGAGCTTCTTCCTGCTGCTGCCTTTCTTCCTCTTCTCGCTGTCGCCTTAATGCAATCTCTTGCTCCCTCTGGCGTCGCAGGGCCTCTTCCTATAGTAACAAAAAAGTGTGTGTGTGTGTGTGTGTGTGTGTGTGTGTGTGTGTGTGTGAGAGAGAGAGAGAGAGAGAGAGAGAGAGAGAGAGAGAGAGAGAGAGAGAGAGAGACTGACTATGGGTCTCAATTAATATATGACACATCATAATTTGAAAAGGAATAGGCTATGTGCCGCAAAGACTCTGTTAATAGCAAACATAAAAAGTACACAGAGTAGTCCAGGCATAGTGGCTCAGTGGTTGAATGTCAACCTATGGACCAGGAGGTCACGGTTCGATTCCCAATCAGGGCACATATCTGGGGCATGCAGGAGGCAGCTAATCAATAATTCTCTGTCATCATTGATGTTTCTCTCTCTCCCTTTCCCTTCCTCTCTGAAATAAAAAATATATATTTTTTAAAAGTATGCAGAGTAAACAGTATATATGTAAGTTCAGAAGAAGATACATTAAGAGTTAAAATAATTTGTGCCCTGACCTGGTGGTTCAGTTGATTGGAGCATTGTCCCATGCACCAAAAGGGTTGTTGGTTCAATTCCCAGTTAAAGGGACATACCTAAGTTGCAGGTTCAATCCCCATTCGGGGTGCGTATGGGGAGGCAACTAATCATTGTTTCTCTCTTGTCTTCTCTCTCTGTCTCTCCCCCCCGCCCCCCGCCTCTTTATCTCTCTCAAATCATTAAAAACATCCTCGGGAGAGGATTAAAAAGTTAAAATAATTTGTATTTAGAATATAAATAGCATTACACTGTGAAGTCTACCTTGGTTTCCACATTAGCTATATTTACCGATTACCCCTAGAAAGAAAGGGCCCATTAGGACATGGCCTTAGTTTTCTCCATTGGGACCATCAGCTCCAATTTTTTAATCAGCTCAGAACCTAAGGTATAGACAGATCAAATCAACACAGCTACCAAAAATGCTTGGTGAGGTAGGAATAAGTTCTCCAGTCAGCAGTACTGAGTAAAGTTATGTGTCCCAGAACAAAATAAGTATACAGAAAAGGGTCCCGTTGTTAAGTAATTTAGGAAATACTGAGCATCACAGAATTAAACAGATTTCCTTACTGCAATATTTCTTAGAGCCCTTACATGCTAATGTAGTAGTTCTAATCTAATCTCAGCATAGACTCTTTTGTTTTTCACAGAGTACCTCCTTGTGGCCAACAAGAAGTAGGAAATGTGAAGTAAAATCTAGACTTTGGGGCTATTACAAAGAAGATTCTTTCCATTGGGATCTTTAAAAATCCCAGTAGAAAATAGGCCAAGCACATGAATAGAAAATTCTGCAACCCCTCCCTCCCAAATACAAATGACCAAAAATCATGAAAAATATTCAATGTCACTGGTTATAAATACTTAGGCAAAGACTTGGTTACTTCTGATATCTAACTGGTTTATAAAACCCCAGGAAATATGCAAAAGAAATAAATTCTAATGTTTTACTTGGACTGAGGACTATCCCTCCAGTGGGTGTTAGTGGACAAGACACTCTAAAAGGAAGTGAGTCTTCTAAGCTTCCAGTCCTGTTGTTGACCTTGGATAAACCATCTCTGTGAACTACAGTCTGTGAAATGATAGGAGTGAGCGAGCTACCCTGAAAGCCCTTCTTCGGCACTAGTCCTGTGGTCAGAGTTCTCCAAGAAAGGGTTACCTGCTTCCTTCGGGCAAGTTCTTCTTCTTCCCGCCTTTTTCTTTCTTCCTCCTGCTGCCTTCGGAGAATTTCCTCCTGCTGTCTCCGGAGTTCTTCTTGCCTCTTTCGCTCTTCCTCTTCCCGTTTTGCCCTCATTTCTGCCTCTCTTCTCTCCTGCTCTAGCTGTGATTACACAAGAGTAGTCTTAGACAGTTGACGCATGCAAAGGAACACCCGAACATCACTGACCAGTACAATTGGGAGAAGCTGAAATGCGCAGGCACCACCAGTCACTCAGTTACTTCCACTGCAACGGGGTGATAAAGGCAGTTCTGTAAGAGCTCTAAGTTCTGAGTTGTCTCAGTAATCAGAACAGTTTTAAGCTCTTCTAAATTGAGTGCACTCTCAGCCCACTTTTCCCTACCTCCTTGCTCCATACCACCTCTGCACCACATTTTCTGCATGTGGAAGAGAAGTAGCCAAGAGGAGAGTAACACAATTTTCTTGGGGAGTGGCCATTTCTTTGCTCATTCCACAAAAAGATTTTCTGATTGAAGATCTAACAAGGTAGCTCCAAAATTTCAAAAGCAATTTTGTAAAGCTACTGATGTAAAAATTATATAATTTTTTAAAATCTGAAGACGAACCACTTGACAAATTCTATCCTTCATAGTCCCTAAATACTAGCCAAATCTAGCAACCAGTTTCCAGTTCCATTGCCACAAGTATAGTTCCGGCTTTCATTTTCTCACCCCCATTCCTAAGAGTCTCCTTATCTGGTTTCCCAGAATCCAGTTGTGCCCACATTCCCCAGCTCAACATCTAACCTTCTCCCCACCCCCACCCCCCACAAAAAAAAATCACTCCCATTTAAACTAGTGGTTCCCAACATGAGGCACACGCCCCACAGGGGAGCAATTTGATTTTATCTGGGGGCACTAAGAAATATATACTCAACTCGAGAGTGAGTTATTAAGTGAATTTTTTTCATTTCTTATGGTTCTGGGATCTCATATACAGTATATAAATACATATTGTAACATATTTATGCATTTCAGTTCTCTATTATGTTTTGAAACTTTATTTGCTATTTTTTCATATCACTTCGTATTATTTTTTTTAAAGTTTCTTAGTGATTTCTTCCTCAGTACTTCAACTCTCCTTTTGTTCTTTTTTCTCTTTGATGGATGTCATGTTCTTTGGAAGCTTGTTTAGACCAAGCTAATGGCCTTTTAGGCTTCCTCCACACGAATAGGAGTTCGCTTTCTGAATAAGAATCATATGTCGGGGGGGGGGGGGGGGGGGGGGCCATCAGGATTTTAGAGATGCTTATGTGGGGCATGGCCAAAAAATGGTTGGGAACAACTGATTTAAACTATCCTTCACCCAGAAAATAAATCCTGACTAACAGCATGTACAAGGATGCTCACGACTGGCCTGCCTCTTCTTTAGTTTCCTCTCTCATCATTCATTCCTCAGACGCATCAAGGGTCCAGGCCAGATCAAAGTACTTAGCTGTTTCCTTAGCCAGTATGTTTTCTTGCATTTCTGAGCCTTTACAGGATTGTTTCCTTCAATTCCAATTTAAATGTTTCCTCCTCTTACTCTGTCAACCCAAAACCCTTTAACAGGGTTAAATCCTACCATCCTTCAAGTGAAAATTAACTCAGGTATTAGTGTCCATTGAAAATGTTGCCCAATTTCTGATTCCCCACCTCTCTAACTAGGTAGCCGGCCCATAATGCTTTCTTGACCCGCTTGTCTGTGTGTCATCACCCCCCCCCCACTCCACACACACACACACACACACACACACACACACACACACACACACACACGACTGCAAGCTCCTGTATTTCATTACCTCAGGGGACAAGACTGTATTAAGTATAAAATAGGAACAAGTCTCTCAGAGGCATGAAAACCTGGAAATCATGACAGTGATACTAAGTGTTGATAGATCAAGCAAGCTACAGCTCAAGGGTCTAATAGCCAAGTAGTGGATATTTTCTTAAGGTCTTAGTATTTGTAACAAGTGTATCTAACATGAATCATGAAATTAAAATATACAGATGACCATAATCATTAATGTGTCCACCAACCAATAATTTTTAATTGAATTGATTTTAACTTATAATTTTAATTCTGTTCAAGGTCTTTGGGGGTATATATATTCAAAGAATATGAATGTTCTTATACCAGCTAGGTAGCAGTAAACTAGAAGGGAAAAAATATATAGCTAGCTAAAGATACAGACATCAGTAAACAAATGCCTGTGTCCCACAACTGGAAAGGATGCACAATTGTGGAAGAATGAGTTCAGACCTTTGCAGCTTTGGCCTTCTCCATCTGTTGAAGCTGTTCAAGGGCAGGTCCTGGAGTTGTCGTATCAAGGGGAAGATCCCATACACTACTACCTTCCCAAACTATAAGACAACAAGGAAAAAAAGTGAGGATGTCAGGACTTACATGCACAGTCACATATCCAGGAGCATAACAAAAAAAGCTACCCCCTGTCCCTGAATGAGCTCCATCGTATACTATATCTGTTCTGCTTCGAAGTCAACTGAACTGCCAGTGGGCTCCAGTTTATATCAATAACCGTCAACACATCTAGAGGTACCAGGCATTCATCCTCAAAAAACCCTGTAAGGTATCTGTTCACTCCCCCATTTTTACATGAACAAGTTAAGGGCCAGAGGTAGTTCTGTAACATCCGCAAGAATACAGGACAAGCACGTGGCCATGCTAGGACTGAAATCCCACTCTGAATCAGATCCCAAAGCCCACCATATTTCTAATAGCCACACCACCTCTTACTGCATGCACTAAGTGGAGAATGGGGTTAAGAAGGGCAAAGCTGTGGAACTAGAGAAAACTAAGTGGTTGTACAATATTGTGAATGCATTAATTATTCATTTAAAAACAGTTAATTTTATGTTATATGATTTCAGTTCAATAAAAGAGAGAAAAAAGAAAAAGGTATAGCTGGAGCTGGGCAAGCCTCTGGAAAGGCTAGGCAAGTCTCACAAACACACTGGGTCCTGCTGACTGACCTGAGAGAGTCAGATGTGGAAGTAAATAAACAGGAGAAGGTTCCTGAGTCTGTTTTCCTATTGTCAGCAATGTTTGCTGGCACCACTTTTCAGCATTCTCTATTCCCTACATTCCTATTATAGTCTATTTATGGACTATAAATTATTGTCTATATAAAACGGAGTATTTGTAAAGGACCTTGACTGCATCATACTCAAAGAAAGAAGTTGTTTAATAAGGTACTTACAACAGTTTCCCCAAAACTGGAGAGCATTTTAACATCCTAACTATAAATGGCTTCCAAGAAAAAATAAGGTACATATAGCATGGGAAGGTGATGAAGAAGAGGGAGATAATCAGTCCTCCTGCCACAATCTCAGGGTCAATGTTAGTCAGAGAACTATGGCCTGAATAGCTCAATGGCTCTAAGAAAAATCCATCAATGCCCATGTTCCTGAGAATTTTCAACATAGACTACAACCTCTTGTAAGGACTACCCACTTCTGCAGAAATCAGAGCTTAAGAAACAGAAGTACTCCACCAATGGCAACTTTTAAAAAATCCCAGCCCCCAAAATGTTCTAATTTACTGCAAAGGAAAAAAAAAAGAGAGAGAATGAGGTTAAGATGTTCACTTCAAAGCAGGCTTTTCTCTTCTCCAAATTTCTGGGTACCTGTAGGCTGTGAAGCTGTTGGCTGAAGCTCCCAGATAGACCCAGTGTCTGGCACTGACACAGATCTAGTTACTGAGGAAATGACACTCTGATCAGATATTCTGCAAAAGGGAAATAAAAAGAACTTGTTCTTGTCATTTTGCCAAAATAAGGAGGAACGTCTATATTACTTGTAGATTTTCCAGGTTATTTGGCCAGAAAACTCCATTGTTTTAACTAAATGGTAACACTACCACAGCATCTGGGACACAGGGAAGAATAATCACTCTCTGGACTACTAAGGTCTTAGCAAACACTGATTTCCAAATAATGGATATACCTACTATCTTCAAAATCCACATCTCAATAAACAGAGGCATGTTATAATGGAAAAACACACACTAAAAAACCCCATAGACTCTAAGTCAAAAGGTCTGTATTTTTGTTCTGTCTCTGAAGTCTTCTGTGTATTATGTCAACCAAGACCTCTAGCCTCTCAGAGTCCCAGTTTGCCCATCTGTAAAATGGACACCTTAGCACTTAACAGGATGGGTTACGGCTCAAAAGAGAAGTGTGAAAGGTTCTAATTAAACTGGATAGTAAGGTTTTAAAGAGCAGTGACAGCTCTTTGCAGAAGGTAAAATAAATATTACCCTGAATGATAATCAGAAATTAAACATAATTTCCTTTTCCTTTGACCGACCTTAATAACATTTGGGTTCTGGAAAATGATAACCCTGTGTGACATTGTTAATATCTTGAGATAGCTAGCACAGGTAAAAATGAGATTAAGCTTTTAGACTACAACTTTTTTGGTTGCTGGTTCCATAAGACTACATTGCTTCTCAAGTGTTATCCTCTGGTTATCATTTCCAATTTATTCTCTGGATAGACCAAGTAAATGCTTTACCTCCAGCCTAATTATTTTTAAAAACTATGTTCTATTTAACACACAACACCACACACTTTTCTGTGGCGTGTACATTTTTTATACCTGAGTTCACACATACCCATATTTCCTTTCTTCTCTTTATCTGATACACACACACACACACACACACACACACACACCCAGGGACACGTCATGGAATGACCACCAACCTCATCTTCAGAGCCTGGAATTGTTGGAGAAGAAGTGCCAACTGTTGCTGCTGCTGGGAAGAGAGGGCTGCTTTCTGCTGTTGAGTCAAAACCTGTGCATACTGTTGTCTTTAAAAAGTAGAAAAAGTGTAACCTGTCTATCCATATTTAGTTCACTTTACTGAGACAATGAAAGACATGGTTCAATCTACCCCTCCCCCAAACCATCAGAAACAGCTAACAAATATCTATAATAATAAAAGCGTAATATGCTAATGTTAATTAGACCGGACAATCTTCTGGAGGGAAGCCCGGGTCCCGGGTGCCTGCCAGCGGCTGGAGGGAAGCCTGGCTCCTGGGTGCCAGAGGGAAGCTGGTGCCAGGAGCCAGGGGAAGGAAGGCCTACTCTTGCATGAATTTCATGCATCGGGCCTGTAAGTATTTTATAATTCTTCATGAGAACAATAGTCACACAGAAAACTCTATACTTCATTCTAGAAAGAACTGAACTTACAGATAACATGCTTTTGAAAGGGGGGGAATAATGAATATAAAAAACTGACAAATTCCTTCAAGATGAAGAAATTTGCCAGTTTTTTAATACTTTAATAGTCTTATACCAGAAAACAAGTTAAAAATAAAACAAAATCAAATAGCTATTTCCACATGAAACACGCTTTGCAAAAATAAAATCACTTGTATAAAAATTCTCATATTTGTTTCAATTGGGAAAATTTTAGGTAAAATTATTTTCCACTAGATCAGAGGTAGACAAATTTTTCAGTAAAGCGTCAGACAGTAAATATTTCTGGCTTTGCAGTCCATACGCAATTATTCAATGCTGCCATCTTTGTTCAAAAGCAGCCATAGGACAATATACACACAAATTGGTGTGGCCGTGTGTCCATAGAACTCTGCTTATAAAACAGGTAGCAGGCTGCCAACCTCTGCACAGATGACAGGCAATCTTAGCTCTTCTACAAAAGCAACACACAAGCTAAGTGATTCTGCCATCAGTCCACACCACTTCTAACAGTATAAACTTTTACTTCTTTTCTGTCCTCTGGTCTATGTTTTTTCTCTGTAGCATTCAAAGTCGAGCTATTTAAGAGGCACTTAGTTCTTAAATGCTTGTTGATTATTGCTTTTGGAGCTAATGAGCTTGCAAAATTACAATACTGTGTAATCTTCTACAAACTTCTGGTATTTAAGAAGACAAAACTTAGTGGTAACATGCCACTAGGTAGGTGACTGAAATATCCTAAAACTTTTGGTTTTATGCTGTAAAAGGTGGCACTTGTGAGCAGATGATATCAAAGGCCTTTTTGGTGCTACAGTACACCCTCTCCAGTACTGCTCTTACTGTATTAAGAACTGCTGGTACTGAAGGTGCTGCATCTGATATAAGGCTGTGAGTTCCTGCTGCCTGGTCAGTCGCTCCTGGTCCAACTCTCCCTGAGAGTAAAGAAATGGGGGAAGAAATGCCATTGAATAAATTGCAAAGAACCTAAAAGCCATTTAACACATATATCTAAAAGCAAAATGAATCCCAGGTCTTCACTTCCCACTCCACCTTTACACCCAAAATGCATAACTATAAAAACCTCAGGCATTTGTAAAAACGAAACAGTTCCATCTAGTGGAAGAAAGCAGTGTCTGCACTATAAGAGACTAGAAGCCTGGTGCACAAATTCGTGCACACTGAAAGGAATATTTTAGAGGAGGGCTCCAGGGAGTGTCCGGCCCATCTTGCCCAGTCCGTGGGAGTGTCTGCCCCTCGTGGTCAGTATGTGTCAGAGTGACTGGTCAAACGATCGGACACTTAGCATATTGGACTTGTATTAGATAGGATTCCCTAAGGTGTGGGAAAGGGTCCTTATTTCAGATGCTGTTTGCCCTCCCCTCCTTCCCTTGAAGCTGAATGTTGTACTGTACTCCAGTTATTACTATAACTAAAAAATGTATAATTCTCCTAATATTAAAAGTGATTTATAAATTTGTTAGATCAGGAATTATAGAAATGGGACAAACAGAAAAGTGAAGTTATCTAAAGGATAAAGGAAATGGCACATAATACTGGGAGCCAATATGTAAGTATGTCTTAAGAAAATAAGAAATTTTTTTTTTTACTATTTTTTATTGACTTTAGAGAGGAAGGGAGAGGGAGAGAGAGAGAGATAGTAACATCAATGCTAAGAGAGAATCACTGATCGGCTGCCTCCTGCATGACCCCTACTGGGGATCAAGCCAGCAACCCGGGCATGTGCCCTGACTGGGAATTGAATCATGACCTCCTGGTTCATAGGTTGATGCTCAACCATCTGAGCCACACCAGTTGGGAGATAATGAGAAATTTTAAGTTAAACACAGTATAAAAGAGCTCTGAAAAGTAAAACTCCTTACCCCAAAATTAGGTTTTTCTACTGCTATTAATACATCCTAAGTTTTACAAAAACAAGCTGTAGTAAAACCCTGGTTTTTTAGCTTATATTTCAAATAACATGGTCTGAAATTTAAATTTGAAAAGCTCAAAGTGAGAAAAATAAGGAAAGTATAAGATAACAGAAATACAGTAGTCCCCCTTATCCATAGTTTCACTTCCTGCAGTTTTAGTTACCTGTGGTCAACCATGGACCAAAAAATAGTAAATAAAAAATTCCAGAAATAACTTATAAGTTTTAAACTGTGCGCTACTTAAAGTAGCTACTTAAGTCGTATGCTGAAATCTTGAGCCATCCCTCACTATCCCCCACAGGACACAACTCATCCCTCTGTCCGGCATGCCCACAAGGCAGATGCTACCCTCCAAGTCAAGTCACTTAGTAGCTGTCATGCTTATCAGATCGGTTGGGAGGTGGGGGGAGAGGGGTGCCACATTCACATCACTTTTATTACAGTATTCCTATATAATAAAAGGCTAATATGCAAACAGACCAAATGGTGGAACCGGAACCAAACAACCAGTTGCTATGACGTGCGCTGACCACCAGGGGGCATGTGCAGAACATGGCGGGCATTGGCCACGGCTGGATGGTGGAGCAGTTGAGCGGGGGCGCCAGACCAAGGCAGGAAGCCAGTCACTGTCATCAGGGTGAGCCTCTGGTGGTTACTGAAAATTCTTTGCTCCTGCACGCCACGGTCCCACCCAGTGCTCACACCTACTTCCAGCGCCAGAGCCACCACTCGCACCCGCTGCCCATTCCTGGCGCCAGTCCCCATCACTTGGTTCCATCAGTGGATGTGAGCAGCAGGTGCCAGCCCTGATAGCCCTTGAGGGCTTCTCCACCTCCCCCTGCTCCTGAGGGGTGATCGGGCAGCAGCTGCCGCTAGCACCCACTGATGGTGCCGGCCTCACTTGCACTGCTGCTGGAGCTGGCCCCAATCGCTCTGCACCATCAGTGCATGGGAGCAGTGGGAGCGGGGCTGCCAGTGGACAGGGGACGGGGGCCAAGGTGCGAGGGGCCGGGCAGGGGCAGGGAGGATGGGCGGAAACCCACCCCTTGCCTACCGCAGCCTCGAGACCCACAGTTCCTTTCAAGATGCATGAATTCGTGCACTGGGCCCCTAGTATTATTATAACTGATCTGTTTGATTACTGTTGTTAATCTCTTACTGTGCCCAATTTATAAATTAAGATTTATCATTGGTATGTATGTATAGGAAAAATAAACATAGTATATACAGGGTTTGGTATTTTCTGTGGTTTCAGGTATCCACTGGGGGTCTTGGAATGTTTCCCCTACAGATAAGGGGGGGAAACTATAAAAGTATAAGGGTGACACAGACTAAACTTAAGCAAATCATTAGTGAATAGTTTATATCTTTATAGTTTGCAGTAAAACATCTGATTATTTCTTGGGCTAGGGAACATCTAAAATTAAAGCTAGATAAAAACTATGCTAAGATCATCTAAAATTTGTATATGAAATATAGGTTTCAAGGTATATTCATCATAAAAGTGAACTCTCTTATCAGTGCAAAGGCAAGAGCTGACAGGAAGCAGAGCTTCCCATGATTTTTCCCTTTAAGTGAGTCTGACTGAGGCTCAGCCCTATCACTGGAAGTCAGGAAATGGACTACAGAAAGTTTGCTAAGCTCCAAGTAATGATCTTTCAGCTCTAAAACACGCAAGATAAAAACTCATCCCAATTCAGAGAAGGAAAATAAAGCTCAAACTTGGTACATAAGTTAAATTTATACACAACAATACACTATAATTTTTCTTTGAATTTATAACAGAAATAATTTCCCTCACCCAGGAATATTTACTGCTCTTCAAACTATAGGTCTCAACCCATCAGTGGACTGTAAAATAAATGACTGGGTCAAGATTAATATTTGTATAAGAAGAAGAAAAGAAATAGAACAGAAGATATGTGCATGACAAAAATTTTTTGTGAAACGCACAGAGAAGAGATGTAACTTTTTTTTAACTACAGGCCATGGTAAAAAATGTTTGACAGCCACTATTCTCACCTATGAATGCCCTTGATAAGAAGTTGTATCTTACCCCAAGAAATCTAAGGCATTTCTATACACCAACAGTGAACTTTCAGAAAGAGAGACTAAAAAAAAAATCCCATTTACCATCGCACCAAAAAAATTAAGCTACCTAGGAATATACTTAACTAAAGAGGTAAAAGACCTCTACTCAGAAAACTACAGGATGTTGAAAAAAGATAGAGGAAGACATAAACAGATGGAAGAACATACCGTGTTCATGGATTGGTAGAATCAACATCATTAAAATGCCCATACTACCCAAAGCAATCTATAAATTCAACGCACTTCCCATTAAAATACCAACGGCATATTTAACAGATCTAGAACGAACTCTCCAAAAATTCATCTGGAATAAAAAAAGACCCCGAATAGCTGCAGCGATCCTGAGAAAGAACAAAGTAGGTGGGATCTCAATACCAGATATCATGCTGTATTACAAAGCCACTGTTCTCAAAACTGCCTGGTACTGGCACAAGAACAGACATATAGATCAATGGAATAGAATAGAGAGCCCAGAAATCGGCCCAAACCAATATGCTCAATTAATATTTGACAAAGGAGGCAAGAACATACAATGGAGTCAAGATAGTCTCTTCAATAGATGGTGTTGGGAAAATTGGACAGATACATGCAAGAAAATGAAACTAGACCACCAACTTACACCATACACAAAAATAAACTCAAAATGGATAAAGGACTTAAATGTACGACAAGAAACCATAAAAATTCTAGAAGAATCCAAAGGCAACAAAATCTCAGACATATGCCGAAGCAATTTCTTCACTGATACAGCTCCTAGGGCACTTGAAACTAAAGAGAAAATGGGAGAAACCAAGATGGCGGCATAGGTTAATGCTGGAGTTTGCTGCCTCGAACAACCACTTCAAAAATACAACTAAAAGACGGAACGGACATCATCCAGAACCACAGGAAGGCTGGCTGAGTGGAAGTTCTACAACTAGGAGGAACCGAGAATCAGAGGAGGCGCAGTGCTGAAGTAAAATACTAAGGTGCGGAGTGCGCCCGGCGTGGGCTGGTGGCTGAGGGTGCAGTTGTCTGTTTCAATCCAGAGGGAGCCTCAGACTCTGAGCTCCAGATCCAGGCGAGTCTCTAGGGACCCAGACTCAAACGGGAGAAGCGGGACTGTCTGGCTTCGGTCCCTCCGAGGTTTGCAGTGGTTGCTGGGACAGAGAGGCAGAGCCCCTGGGGACGGAATGAGAGCAGCCATAACTGCTCCCTCCTCCGCCCTGTTGATCCCGTGGGACCCGCCCCGCCCAAGCCCTGCACAGAGCAATTTGCCGGATAGCCTCAGGCAAAGGTTAGATTAGCACCTCCCTAGAGGACAGAAGTTCTCCCACTGCAAACACAGCTGATTCTCACAGCCAGTTGGCCTGGAGGTCAAGTAGTAATTACCTACAACAATTAAGGCTTGACTACAACAAGACTGCTCACAGAGACCACAAGTGGGTGCACCTAGAATGTCTACCTCAGGTAATTGGGACACTTAACACGGAAAGCCACTCTATCGACACAGCGAAGCATAAAAAAATGCCAAGACAAAGAAACAGGCCACAAAGGACAGAACCGGAGGAAAGCAGGCTACTGGATATAGAATTCAAAACCACACTTTTGAGGTCTCTCAAGAGGCTTCTAGAGTCTGTCGATAAACTTGATGAGATGTACAGGAAATCTAATGAGACCCTCGATGGTGTGATAAAGGACCAACTAGAAAGTAAGCATACACTGACTGAAATAAAGAATATTATACAGACTCCCAACAGCAGACCAGAGGAGCGCAAGAATCAAGTCAAAGATTTGAAAAGCGAGGAAGCAAAAAACACCCAACCGGAAAAGCAATATGAAAAAAGAATCCGAAAGTGTGAAGATAGTCTAAGGAACCTCTGGGACAACTACAAGCATACCAACATCAGAATTATAGGGGTGCCAGAAGATGAGAGAGAGCAAGATATTGAAAACCTATTTGAAGAAATAATGACAGAAAACTTCCCCTACTTGGTGAAAGAAATAGACTTACAAGTCCAGGAAGCGCAGAGAACCCCAAACAAAAAGAATCCAAAGAGGACCACACCAAGACACATCATAATTAAAATGCCAAGAGCAAAAGACAAAGAGAGAATCTTAAAAGCAGCAAGAGAAAGAAACTCAGTTACCTACAAGGGAATACCCATACGACTGTCAGCTGATTTCTCAACAGAAACTTTGCAGGCCAGAAGGGAGTGGCAAGAAATATTCAAAGTGATGAATGCCAAGAACCTACAACCAAGAGTACTTTATCCAGCAAAGCTATCATTCAGAATTGAAGGTCAGATAAAGAGCTTCACAGATAAGGAAAAGCTAAAGGAGTTCATCACCACCAAACCAGTATTATATGAAATGCTGAAAGGTATCCTTTAAGAAGTGGAAGAAGAAGAAAAAGGTAAAGATACAAATTATGAACAACAAATACGCATCTATCAACAAGTGAATCTAAGAATCAAGTGAATAAATAATCTGATGAACAGATTAGTTCAATCACCAGAATGAACTGGTGATTATAATAGAATCAGGGACATAGAAAGGGAATGGACTGACTATGCTTGGGGGGGGAAGGGGTGTGGGAGATGTGAGAAGAGACTGGACAAAAATCATGCACCTATGGATGAGGACAGTGGGTGGGGAGTGAGGGCGGGGGGTGGGGTGGGAACTGGGAGGAGGGGAGTTATGGGGGGAAAAAAGAGGAACAAATGTAATAATCTGAACAATAAAGATTTAATTATTAAAAAAATAATAATAAAATAAAGAGAAAATGAACAAATGGGACTACATCAAAATAAAAAGCTTCTGCACAGCAAAAGAAACCATCAACAAAACAACAAGAAAGCCCACTACATGGGAGCATATATTTGCCAACATTATATCTGATAAGCTCCTATTCTCCAACATTTATAGGGAACTCATACAACTTAACAAAAGGAAGATAAACAAACCAATCAAAAAATGGGCAAAGGATCTAAATAGACACCTTTCAAAAGAGGACATTCAGAAAGCCAAGAGACATATGAAAACATGCTCAAAGTCACTAATCATCCGAGAGATGCAAATCAAAACAACAATGAGGTACCATCTCACACCTGTCAGAATGACTATCAACAACAATTCAACAAACGACAAGTGCTGGAGAGGATGTGGAGAAAAAGGAACACTCGTGCACTGCTGGTGGGAATGCAGACTGGTGCAGCCACTATGGAAGACAGTATGGAGTTTCCTCAAAAAACTAAAAATGGAACTCCCATTTGACCCTGTGATCCCACTTCTAGGAATATATCCCAAGAAACCAGAAACACCAATCAGAAAGGATATATGCACCCATATGTTCATAGCAGCACAATTCACCATAGCTAAGATCTGGAAACAGCCTAAGTGCCCATCAGTAGATGAATGGATTAGAAAACTGTGGTACATCTACACGATGGAATACTATGCTGCTGTAAAAAAAAGAAGGAACTCTTACCATTTGCAACGGCATGGATGGAACTGGAGAGCATTATGCTAAGTGAAATAAGCCAGTCAATGAAGGAAAAATACCACATGATCTCACTCATTCATGGATAATAAAGACCATTATAAACTTATGAACAAAAATAGACACAGAGGCAGAGCTGCCTCAAACAGACTGTCAAACTGCAGCGGGAAGGCTGGTGAGGGTAGGGGGGCAGAAGGGGGGGGGGGCGGTAAGAGATCAACCGAAGGACTTATATGTATGCATATAAGCATAACCAATGGACATAAGACACTGGGGGGTAGGGGAGGCCAGGGGATTGTCAAGGGCGGGGGGAAAAAAGGAGACATATGTAATACCCTTTGTAATACTTTAAGCAATAAAAAAATAAAATAAAAGAAAAGAAAAGAAGTTGTATCTTATTCATCCTTAGCTCTTCAGAACCTACCACAAGGCCTGGTACAGGCCCTCAACCTAGAGTTAATGAATAAGTCAATAGTGTTTTCATTGTCGAAATCCAGTGTTCACAATGAGGTTTCTAACTATAGCTACTTTTGACTATGGCCAAGAACCAGACACTCCTATACTTGGAGAAGGAAAAGTACGGCACAGATCCAAAGCTCTCCAAGAGGAACTCTTTGGGGAAAGGGTCGGGAGCAGCTGAAAAGGAGTATTATTTCCCATTCAAAGGTTCTCCAGGACCACTATACAAGAGGGCTACATTATGATCCAGTTTTTAGTTACAATACCAGTAGCTAATTTTTTTTTTTTAATCCTCACGCAAAGATATTTTCTCCATAGAGAAGCAAGTGCATCTGTATCTAATACATGTTCTGGGTGAGCTGTAAGGTACTTACCATATGAGAAGGGGGTGCAGGACCGGAAGAGAAGGGAACCCTTCCCCACATTTTCATGATATCACCAAGAGGTTGGAAGCTTTCATCACATGCTCTCTTCACCAATAAAGACATAGTAAAATAGCCCGCCTGAAACCATTCTGCCATCTCCTGATTATTGAAGGGACCTACAACACCAATTTAAAACAGAAGGGCAATAAGAATCCTTTCAGGCTAACGAGGAAAAAAATATTTTCTGTGTTTGATCCTCATCCAGAGGTAACAACTTGTTTCAGGTGGTACCTATCAAATAATTTTTAAGATAAACTTAACTCCTCTCCAAAGGTGGTGGAGAGGCTTTTAATAAAATACAACAAAAAAGATTTCAAAATAAGCCTATGTCTACACACCCCAAATTCTCAGAAGTGCTGAGATGTTAAAGAGCATATAGTCTCCATCTCACTCAATCTCTATAATTCATTTGTCAAAGAAGTATTTAATTAAACTGGAAAGAGTACTTATTAGACTCTGTGTCACTTAGCAATAGAGAATACAGATATGCAGGGCAGAATACACGCTTTTCTAAATTTTCATTTTCTGCCAGAGATTTAGCCATTAAGGAAATGCAAATTTAAAACTATGAGATATCATGACACACTTGTCAGAATGGCTATAGTTAAAAATAGCCACATCCTGCGCTGGCTGGTATGGCTGAGGTGGTTGGGCGTCATACTGTATACCAAAAAGTTGCTGATTCGATTCCCAGTCAGGGCACATGCCCAGGTTCCGGGCTCGATCCCTGCTAGGGGGCATGCAGAAGGCAGCCAATCGATGTTTCGCTCTCACATGGATGTCTCTCTCTTTCTCCCTAGAAATCAATAAAAATATTTTAAAGTAAGTAAATGAAAATATTTTCTGTAAAGAAAATATGAGTCACTCATAGATTGCTGGTGGGAATATAAAATGGTACAGCCCTTCTGGAAACCAGTTGGGCAATTTCTTTAAAAAAAAGAACTATACATATAATCACCATATAACCCAGCAAATGCACTAGTGAACATATTTTATCTCACAGGACTAAAACTTACATTCACATAAAAACCTATCATGAATGTTTTAATAGCTTTATTATAATAGCCAAAATCAGGAACAACCCAGATGCCATTCATGTTAAACTATGATACATGCAGGTCATAGAATACTAAATTAAAAGAAACAAACTACTGATATATGCAACAAACTGAATGAATCTTGAGAAAATTATATTGAGTGAGAAATGACAATGACAAAAGGTTAAATACTGTATGATTCCATTTATATAACGTTCTTGAAATGACAAAATATAGAAATGGCGAACTGATCAGTGGTTGCTAGGGGTTAAGGAGGAGGAGAAGGGGGTGTGGATGGGAGGGGGATGGGTATGGCTATAAAAGGGCAAAGAAGGGATCCTATTGTTGAGACAGAAACACTGAATCTTGACTATGTCACTGTCTTGGTTGTGACACTGTACTACAGTTTTGCAAGAGGTTACCCTGGGGAAACCGAGTAAAAGGTATGTGGAATCTCCGTTTTATTTCTTTCTTTTTTAAAAAAAAATATATTTTATTGATTTTTTACAGAGAGGAAGGGAGAGGGATAGAGAGTTAGAAACATCGATCAGCTGCCTCTTGCACACCTCCTACTGGGGATGTGCCCACAAACAAGGTACATGCCCTTGACCGGAACCAAACCTGCGACCTTTCAGTCCATAGGTCGACGCTCTATCCACTGAGCCAAACCAGTTAGGGCTCCATTTTATTTCTTACAAGTGCATGTGAAGCAACAATTATCTCTAAGTAAATTTTATTAAAACACACATCCATATGTATTTTAATTAAAACCCTGCTCTTACATACTTTACATTTTATAGATCATGAACAAATATATACAGTGCCAGGTAGTGATAGATGCTATGAAGAAGAATGAAGCAGGTTAAGGGTCCTGAGAGTGGGAAAGGAGTTATTACATTGGTCACTTGGTTAAACACTATCATGAAACTGACACTAATACAGTCAATAACCAATTTCAAGTTATTAGCAAAGATTTCAAAAGCAGAAATGAAGAATCAACAAATGTCCTTTACAGCATTCTCTCTGCATTCTAATTTTTATTTTTTTAAATATATTTTCATTAATTTCAGAGAGGAAGGGAGAGGGAGAGAGACACAGAAACCTACAACAGAGGTTCACTGATCAGCTGCTCCTGCATCATCCCTACTGGGGATCCAGCCCACAACCTGGTGTGTGTCCTAACTGCGATTCGAACAGTGATCTCCTGATTCATAGGTCGACACTCAAACATTGAACCACACTGGGCAAGCTTTCCCCATTCTAATTTAATTTATGCATCATACAAATCTTTTAAGGAATTAGTTTATAACATGGCACTACTTCTCAGACATTTTTAATAGTTTTTTTATCATTTATATCAACTTCATTTTAGTGAAATATTAAAGCAGTCTTCCAAAATTGCTCCAATTACGTTTTTATGGAAAGAAGACTGGAATATAGAGAAGGTAAGTAACTCACCTGCCTAATAAATCAGCTGGGATGCCAGAAATGAGGGGGGTCTTACGCATTTTTTTTACATCCCTATCAAATTAGCATGACATTCTGCCCTGTATTCAAATTATTTTCATTGGACTTCCCTTCCCCTCACTGAAATAGTACTATGGGAGGAGGCTATAAAAATGCCTTCTATATATATAAAGAAAGCCTATAGCATGAAAATTAACATTAATCACCACCATCTTACAAAATCTGGAGGTAATGGCAGGCATTTCTGAATTAAAGTAGAACAAAACCACCTACCCTGAATTTCTCCCTGAGGATCTTTGTAATACCACTTCTGCATTGCTTCGTGCATTGATGGACCCGAGACACCCTTAGCTCTGTGCTCTTGCAGTTTTGATGCCAGTCTCTCATCATCTAGTGCACTGTCTTGGAGATAAGCCACCATCTTCTCAGCTTGCTAACAGAAAAACAAAAAATGGAAAGAAAAGATCCTAAATTAATACTTGTGCACATAAAAAATGCCTACCTTTTTTGGAGTACTTGATCTGTGAAAGACATTATGCAAGGAACACAGCAGGCAATGACTTAATTTTTACAACAATGCCATGAAAACAGGTACTATCCCCCATTTCACAAAGGGCAAGTCTTATTCAGGGTCTCAAAATTATTAAGCAAGCCAAAGATGAGGAGCAGTTGATCAATGATTCTCTCTCATCCACAAACTGATAGGGATCAAAGCCGAGGCTTCTAATCAACACACTAATAATAATACTTTTTAAAATTTATAAGCTACTGTTCAATCCTATATTGTATAAACTAAACCTGTAAATACGTGCATGTTAACAGAACAAAAGGCTCCATTAGTACAATTACCAATAAAATCTTTTGCAGGTTTTACTAAGACACTGCCCCCTTTCTTATTTTCTTCAACATTGCTTGTCACTGACCACCCCACCCTGGAGGAAAGAGAAATTCTTCTGCAGAAAGCAGGCTATTATTTACTTTGCATGTAAACAATGGTATTTACAATCTTGGGAAAATCTAGAAACATGATTAAGATAATATCCTGTGAGTTTTACTATTTTCCCTGTTATAATTTAGGCAAAATATACAGAAGACACAGTACCTATCCACAGCTGCTTGTATTCACCATTTTTGGCATTCCATTAATTTCCATTAAAGAAAAAAGAAAAGCAAACAGCTAAAGGCAACCTCAGAAGAGAAAAAATAACCTGACATAATGACTACTACATAGCAGAAACTTATAAGCATGAAATGATTTGAAAGAAATTTTTCATACAAATAAATACTAGAAATACAAACAACTTTTCCAGTAAATAAAATCTGGTGCACAAAAGTCCCATTTTTGATTATTCATTAATGCTTTCTAATATTTATAGCAGTTGGAGAAAAAAAGAATTACATGATTTTTACCTGCTCCAAATGCTTGAGACCCTCTTCATCATCTGGCTCTGTGGAAATACTGCCCATACCAGGAGCACCTACGACCTGCGTTTCACCTGGCCGGAGGGCAGCACTAGGATTAGGAAGAGGTGGTGGAAGTATGAGGAGAGGAGAGGCTGTGTCTGAAGGAATCTGAGGGAGGGGCTGCTGGACGTCAGGAATCATTTCTAGAGGGAAAAAGATGCAGACAGATGAAAACCCTTTAAAATATAGAGAATCTTATGAAGAATGAAGTCTATATCAAGTTGAGAAGCTTGCTAAATGGGCTCAGCTACTTCTGAAGAAGTACAGCATTTCTCCCCAGAAAGACAGAAGTACCTCCCCAGAATGACAAAATATAAGGATTAAAAGGTATCCAGAAGGGCCTTCTACAGTGCCTGTGTCACTAGACGCAGTGATGGCGAACCTTTTGAGCTCGGCGTGTCAGCATTTTGAAAAACCCTAACTTAACTCTGGTGTTGTGTCACATATAGAAATTTTTTGATATTTGCAACCATAGTAAAACAAAGATTTATATTTTTGATATTTATTTTATATATTTAAATGCCATTTAACAAAGAAAAATCAACCAAAAAAATGAGTTCGCGTGTCATAGGTTTGCCATCACTGCACTAGAACATCTACCTACCCAATGGTTGGTTATGAGTTTACCTCTTGAAAACAAACGGAGTCAGTCTAATCCCTTCTTAATATCATGTCTCAGAATGGTAGAGACAGTTAACAAAGCACTGCAAATCTTCTCAAAGATGGCTTATCTCATCACTAAAACCTTTATTAAAAATCTCTGCAATTATCTTGAATAAGTACCTTTTCAAGTCATAATTAATGTAACTCAATACATTGCATTTTGTAGGATACTGAAAAACACTTGGAGTCTACCTGTACAATGCAGGAAGTTCTTCTCAGTAAGTATAAAGACTGCAAAAGAGGTTCTATGTTGGGTCCTGTTTCTAACTTATTAGTATGCAGGCTCTTAAGAAGGAAAAGGGGGATGGAACTAATTAGAAACAATTTCAGTTTCCCCTTTGAAAGCTTGTTTGTTCAATTACAGATAGCTTCTCTAAATTCCTGTTCCTCTCACTCCTTCCTTCCTTTGCCAATTTTTTTTCAAAGGACAGTCCATACAAGTTGTATCCACTTCACCACCACCTATACCTGCTACACTGTGACTTGCACTCCCACCCCTCCAGTAAAGCTTCTCTTCCAAAGATAGGCAGTGACATAAAGTCCCCAAATCCAGTATTTTCCTCATCCTCATCACCCAATTTCTTAGTAGTGTCTGACATTATCTACCCTATCCCAAGCTGAAAACATTCTCCTTCCTTCATTTTCCTGCACTCTACACATGCCTCTGAAGACTTTTCTCTGGCTCCTCTTTATCCTCTAAAAATCGTAATTACAGCTGGGGGAAAAAAAACTGAAATTACCCAAAGTTCTGTTCTCTGTCTACTTTTCTTTTCACCCCTAACAAGTATATGTAATGTTTATATTTTAATTCTCTGGCCCTAAACTCTTCCTATCTTTGCAGTCCCTTACTCAACTGCTCTCTGGCCATCTCTACCTTTTTCTCATTAACACCTCAGAATCAATATTCAAAATTAATTTATCCTCTCCCCTTCCAAATGTGCTCCTCAACTTCTACTCTTTTTCTATTAATGGTAGCATAATTCTCTCAGACACCTCTCTCATCTTCGACCCTTTCCCTTGCCCTGATATACAAGCAATGACTATGTCCTGCCAAATTCTACTTTGAAATCTTATCTGCCACTACCTCCCTTTACAGGTGCACTGCCTCCATCATAATGACTACTTGGGAGCCCAACAGGTCACACTGAACCCACCTGTCATCAAAACAATCTACCCTACGTACATCTGTCAAATCCATGTTTCCCACCATTCTCCTTTCACACCTCATGCTTCACCTAAATAAAAACAGGAGCTGGTTCCTGCCCATGCCTGGACCAGCCCTGCTTCCTCGCTTTAGCTTTCACCGATTCTGAGGTGTTAATGGGAAATTAGGTACAGCTTTCACTGTACCAGAATGCCCTTTCCCAATTCATCTAGCTACATCTACCTCCAAATTCTACTTATTATTCCAAGACAAACTCAAGACACTTGCTTCCTGAAGCACTGCAGGAGTTTACCAGTCATGAACTCATACAATTCTTTTTGCCCTAGGTTATTAATAGTACACATAGTTTACCTCCCCTAAATCCAGAATTTCAATCTTTAATGCCTATCTATGAAGCTTTCTCAAAATACACATTTTGACCCCATCCTAAAATTTCAAAATGTACAAGTACCACAGTGCCTGATATATATAGCAGAAATTCAAATATGTGCTGAATTCATTCATTCAGCTTTGTTCTAGACCAGGGGTGGGCAAACTTTTTGACTTGAGGGCCACAATGGGTTCTTAAACTGGACCGGAGGGCCGGAACAAAAGCATGGATGGAGTGTTTGTGTGAACTAATATAAATTCAAAGTAAACATCATTACATAAAAGGGTACGGTCTTTTTGTTTGTTTGTTTTATTCATTTCAAACGGGCTGGATCCGGCCCGCGGGCCGTAGTTTGCCCACGGCTGTTCTAGACACTAAAAGGAAATCCTTGGTTCAAGCCCTCAAAATATTAGTTTATTGAGCAAAAAAAGGACAAACAGATCTTTATAATACTGTATTGCTATTTTGGAAATGTTGTTTAAGAAACAAGGCACCTAACCTAGCTTGGAAAGATGAGGTGGGAGAGTGTGTCAGGTTCAGAGAACAGCATGTGCTAAGGCACAAGGCAAGAGAACACAGCACATTTCAGAACCTAACAGGCTGTGAGGCTGGTGAATAGAGTACAAAGGAGACACAGACTGGTGCTAAAACTGCATGTAGGGAAGCAGAAGCCCAATCGTGCAAGATATCATAGGCCATATTGAAAGGTGTGAATTTTTTGCCCAGCTGGTGTTGCCCAGTGGTTAAGCGTTGACCCATGAACCAAGAGTTCTCCAGTCTGAGTCCCAGTCAGGGCACATGCCCGGGTTTCAGGCTCAATCCCCAGCAGGGGGCAAGCAGAAGACAACCAATAAATGATGTATCTCTCACCAATGTTTCTATTCCTCCCCCATCCTCTCTCCCTAAAAATCAATAAAAACATATTTAAAATTTAAAAAAAGGTGTGCATCTTTATGGTGAATGAATCAATCAACCCTTCACCACCAGGCCTTACACTGTCATTTTTTAATATGTACAAGAAACATGGAAATATTAATATTGCTTACTAAGGTATATGAGCAACTTAAAATCAATATGATGACACTGGAGGAGATATACTTTAAGCTTATTCTATAGCAAAATTGATGGGAATCCCACAGATTCATGAATGTTCTTTCTGGCCTCTTTTGGAACAATGGCAATTTGGTATGTCAACTAGAAACACACATAGCCTTTACATGAAAGGAAGGTAGCTGTCTGATATCAGAATCAAACTACTGCAGAGGACCACAAACCCAGTTTGCTCAACTGATACCAGGGTGGCTATGTCATAACATCCTAGGAAGTGAGACTCTGGAGCTCCACCCTTGCTTCCTCTGTGTTTTGATAAATTCTGGGATGGACACGTGGGAAGCGGAGTTCAACTAGGTTTACCAGTAAAATAATATGTCCTAATTATCTACCATTGGAAGCAGTTCTAGGAGGCATAAGCAGTAACCTATCTTACCAGTCAGTGATAAAGTCCCTACTTCAAAGCAAAATCCTACTTTAGTTTAATGACTCTCACAAATACATACCATCCCCTCTGCTGGGCATTTTGGTTGGCAGACTATTTTCCGTCCGACTCTCTTCTTCAGTTTTTTCCGTCTGCTCAGTTCTGGGTTCCTCTTTTCTCTCAAACTGTGGTGCTTCCTGAGATGGATGATCTGAAGGAGTACCTGGTCTAGCAGATGATGTTAAGATTTGAGGTGTTTCCTCACTAGCTTCTGTAACATGAAGTAATCTTAAATTAACAATTTAGGAAACTTCAGGTTTGACAGATAAAAAGGTAAAGACAAAACTGCACCTTACCAACTCCTATTCTCTCTGTCTTCTCTCCCTCTTTCTTATTTGCCTTATCAGGTTCTTTGGCTTCTTCATTATGGCTACCCTCAGAGTCAGAGCACTCCTCCCCTTCCTCTACAGGCCGGAAGTCCATCTCCTGCTCTTCTGGAATAGGCTCTTTCTGTACTTTCTGTAGCAAAAAATAAAGCCAAAGGTTAACAGCATATTTGGATTTGGTAGAAGGTGAGTGCCTGTCATGACATTTAAACCAACTTCTTACCTTTAGAGAGAGGAATGCTCCAGAGGAGTCAAATGTGCCCATTTCTTCATCGGCGTCCTCTAAGCACCATTCAGGCAAGCTGTCCCTGTCATCGTCAATGCTGCCACTGCCAGTGCGCACCCTTCGGTAACCCCGTTCTTCATCCCGATCTCGAAAATCAAACTCAAACCTTCGCCGTCGTTCCATGTGTTCCCGCCAGCCTGCAGAACGAGGGCCATCTGGGATCAGGAGGAGGACACAAACCTTAGAAAAGTTTTGTGACAGTATTGGAAAAAGAAAATAATAGATAGGAAATAAAGGAGAAAACTACAACTAAAAGCAAATTCAAATACATCAACCTACTAAACAGAAAACTAGGCAAATTACATGAAGTTCAGAGCTCAGCACATGTAGTTATCTTCATTAAGTACCAAGCCACAACAGATTCTAAAGCTTTTAAAGATACATTTAAAACAAATAACTTTGCCCTGACCGGTTTGGCTCAGTGGATAGAGTGTCAGCCTGCGGATTGAAGGGTCCCAGGTTCGATTCCGGCCAAGGGCATGTACCTCGGTTGCGGGCACATCCCCAGTAGGGGCTGTGCAGGAGGCAGCTGATCAATGTTTCTCTCTCATCAATGTTTCTAACTCTATATCCCTCTCCCTTCCTCTCTGTAAAAAATCAATAAAATATATTTTAAATATAAATAAATAAATAAATAAATAAAACAAATAACTTTTAAAGGACGCTTTATTCAAAGTATAAACTTTTAATGAGCTTTAGGTATCTGACTGAAATGTTGATTAACCTACTCCTTGGTCAGACTTAGAACTGCATATTTTTCCATACTGAAGTCCATGCCTTCCTTCTGGCAAGTCTGTGAAGCATTTTCTTTATTTTCCTGAAAGTATCGTTCTCTATGAATAAGACCGGCTCCCTATGACAATTCACATCAAAATCATCATGCCTACCTACTAGTGCCAACATCCCATTTGTAATTCTGATTCCCAACAAAAAGTCATGGAATTACAGCACTGGCAGCTTTCATAGAGATTTGATATAGCCCACTATTATAATTTTATAATTTAAAAACAAAACTTCTGACAGAAGTAACTTGCAAATGGTAAAGCAGAACTAGAATCCAATTCTGCATCCTCTACTGCTTTTCCACAATAACATGCTTACTTTCCTTTCCCTTCTCTCATCTCTTCACTCTCCCTAGGGAGTTATTTCTGTATAATATCCCCAGGGACATTCCTAAATCCACCCTAGCATACTGTTTATTACATCCACTGTCCGGCAGAAAAAGAATGCCTAAAAATAAAAGATCCTAATTGAAATATATTTTTCTAAAAAAGAATGGGAAACCTTGGTAAAGTCTGACAAACCTGAGTCTAAGAGAGTTAAAGAAAAAAAAAGGGGCGGGGGGCAGTTTTTAACATATTAGAATTTTCTATCCTTGACTGCTTTCTCTGTGGGAAATACACAAAAAATGAGGCCAAAGCAAAATGTTCTTACCATTGAGGCTCAATTTGCTAAACCTAGCGATCTAAAACTCAAACTGAAAACCAAAGGGCAAAATGTTAACATGCCAAATACGGGTAGCATTCTGTAAGCCACTCACAAAATGGTAAGACAACATTATTCCACATTCCCCACCCTTTACTTACAACAAAACACTATTTCCGACCTTCTATGAAAATGAAGGAATTTTATACCCAGATCACTTAAATGTAAACCTAGAGTCATTGCTCAGAAGATGTGTTCATGATCAAATGCTGATTTTCTGAGTGCTCTGTCTACTGCTGTCATTTCTAAACTGTCTGTAAATATGCACTATGATAGGAATAAATCCTTCTAGGCCTCTGGTTCACATTTTCCTCTTACTGTGTTTCCTAAGTTCAGTTCTCAGAGTGAATGCTTAGCTGGTCTAATGCACCATCTCCACATGTATCCAGTTGTGCACCCTACGTCAATAAAACTAGATTCCATAACGTTGTTGTCTTATCAACAGTAAAAAAAAACATTTTATTCATGAAAGTTAATATAGCAGATAAGGTACAGCTATAGCTTAAGACTAACCACTGCTTTAAAGACCTTACATTAGAACTAGTTTATAGTATTTTCACAAGATAAAATAAATCAAAATCATTATATTTAAAATTTTAATCAAATCTTAATAAAAGATTAACTAAAATCCAAGAAATGTTAAGAGTAACTTACAATTGATATAATCAGATTTAATATGCTGGTTTGAAAAAGTGATACTATTCATTTTTTAAAATGCATATTTAGAGTGGTTGTTTTGTTTGTTTGCCCCAAATCTTTATCTCCCCCAAACTATATTTTAAAAATATAAAAAAATAATAAAAATTTAAAAAATAAAAACATATAAATAAAAAATTTTGGGAAACTGTCAAGTTAATTACAAATAAAACTAACGTGAAAGTCAAATATTAGGAGAAAGACTTAGAAAAAGACAATATATATTCAAAATCTAAGTTACTGGTTGAGGAGGTTTGATGGTGGAATATAACACTAAAATTTTACTTTGTTCAACTCCCTTTAATAGAATCAACATCATTCTTTTGAGCTCAGAAACACTGTTCATCTTCCAAAACATTCACCTTGTTTGTTTTTGATCAGCTGGAATTTTTCTTCTCGCTCAGCCCAGATCCTGTTCATTCTCACTGAATGCTTGTTGGGAACATAGTCTACAAACCCTCTGCTAACAGGCAAGCTCAGCACAAAATGCAGATATGCCCTGAAGAGAACAGTAACATTTGGTTGCCCAGGACACAGACTGGTGAGAAGTGCCTAGAAAACTATGATGTAAACAATGCCCACTGATGACAGAAAACGCACCCAAGAGGCAGTCATGAAGAGCTGGGGTATAGCATCCTAACTTTATCCAAAGATTGACTTCATCAAGTCTCTACCTACCCACACAAGTCCATAAACCATTCTAAATGCCTGTTAGAATATTTATTTAGACCAAGATTAGTGATTTTGCTACTGGATTTTAAAAAGTAAATGGAAACAGTTTACATTATTATAATGTCCTCTATTAAAGGTAAGCTCTCTTGGCATATGGTTGATAGATAAAAATATTATATTATGCACGTGAAATTCAAAAGACAAGTACACGGTCTTTGTATGCTTCAGTTCTGCATGACCCCACGATTCAAACTACAGTGGCATCTGATTATCATGAGGTGTGGAATCAGCACTTTGGCAGGGGATGAACTCTGACACAAAGCACCAGTGTCTTCAGTTACCAGCATATCTAATGTCAGGGAAGAACAGTTGGAAGCATTCTTAGGAGTCAAACAGAAGAACTTATAAAATCACTAATCACTACTATTCTCTCTCCTTTTTTTAAAATTAGAGGGACAAAAGAATGAACTTTTATGTTTTTGACCTGGGTTTAAAGTTTATTCTTCAAATAAGCATAAACACATTTTCAGGACAAAAAAATTTGAAAGAATAAATCCTTTCTTGCACAGGGAGAAAAAAAAATTTTAGGGGAGCACATGTTCCTAAATGTCCCTAATTATACATTTATTAAGTTTTAAAGCGTGATGAAATAGGTCTGAGAGATTTAGAGTTAGACAGAACGAAATGAAACCCTCTCTTAGTTGTGCAGTTAAGGGCAAGTGCTTCCTGTGAAACCACATTATTTGCCCCAGAAAAATAAGAGTGATTTTAATCAAATAAATAGATCTGGAGTATTTTTATGTTGAGATTTTTTGTAATACTAAGACTGAGTGTGATGACATAAATAATGACTCCATTTTTTTTTAACCAGTTTATCTTTTCCACTTACTACCTAACAATTTCCACCAAATACTCAACAGAATTCTTACCAGGACTATGAGGCCGCCACCTCTCTCCATCCCTTCTTGATCCAGCTAATCGCCAACCTCCATCTTCATCTTCTCCGTTTTGTTCTTCTCTAAAAATACGCCAATTGTCACTTTCTGATCGTATAAATTCATGCTTCCTCCCCACTGATGTTGGTCCACCTTCCTCAAAGTTTGGTCTCCCTGTAAAGAAAATAAGAAACATGAGCCTTAACCAGTGAGAATTTTGAAAACAGACTTGACTGCTCAAATAAAGCTTTTCTGCAAATGTGTCCATTTCAATGTTTAGGCAGTATAAATAAAATAACTGATATATGCATAGATTATTAGACACATTTCTTAAAGCTGAATGTTCATAGACAGTGCAAGTATTTTTTTTAAATATATTTTTATTGATTTGAGAGAGGAAGAAAGAGGGAGAGAGAGAGAAACATCCATGATAAGAGAGAATCATGGACCGGCTGCCTCTTGCAAGTCCCCCACTGGGGATCGAGCCCACAACCCAGGCACGTGCCCTTGACTGGAATCGAACCTGGGACCTTTCAGTTCGCAGGCCGACGCTCTAGCCACTGAGCCAAACTGGCTAGGGCATTTTTTAAACAAAAATAGATGCATTAAAAAGAAGGGTATGCAATGAAAAGTAAATCAACCTTCCCCTACATGAGACCCCCCCCTCAAGTATTCCCCAAACTGTCCACAGCTATACTTATGCACATATATACAGATCCCTCATTCACACTACATACCACCACCCTCAGAATGTTATGCATGTTGTCTTATACCCTTGCTGTTTGCACTTAATCATGTATCTGGGCAATCCTTCCTTAACCAGCACATAGGTGCTCTTTTTTAAGTCATATAATATTTTAAATTATATGCTATACTTAATTTAATCAACTTCTACTGGTGATTCTGCCCAAACAAGATAACTGTAAATGTCCAAAACAGATTGTAAACTCAAAAAAGTAGAGACTATGAGCTATATATAATATTTCATTTATTCTAGCACCTAGTACATTACAGACATACAACAAATTGCTTTTGAACAGAATTCAAAGCTAAGTTATGTCTAACCTGATGCAACTCAAGAGCTACATTAAGGATAAAAGACAATACTAAGTAAACTATTTGTTTATTTTCTCTTTAGTTTCCATTGCCCTAGGAACAGTATCAGTGAAGAAATTGCTTCGGCATATGTCTGAGATATTGCTGCCTGTGGATTCCTCTAGTATTTTTATGGTTTCCCGTCTTATATTTGAAGTCCTTTATCCATTTTGAGTTTATTTTTGTGTATGGTGTTAAGTTGGAGGTCTAGTTTCATTTTTTTGCATGTGTCTGTCCAATTTTCCCAACACCTTTTATTGAAGAGGCTGTCTTGACTCCATCGTATGTTCATGACTGCTTTGTCGAATATTAATTGAGTACAGTGGTTTGGGTCTATTTCTGGGTTCTCTATTCTATTCCAATGATCTATATCTGTTCTTGTGCCAGTGCCAGGCTGTTTTGAGAACAGTGGTTTTGTAATATAGTTTGATATCTGGTATTGAGATCCCACCTACTTTGTTCTTTCTCAGGATTGCTGCAGCTATTCGGGGTCTTTTTTTATTCCAGATGAATTTTTGGAAAGTTTGTTCTAGGTCTGTGAAATATGCCATTGGTATTTTAATGGGGAGTGCATTGAACCTATAGATTGCTTTGGTTAGTATGGACATCTTGATGATGTTGATTCTACCAATCCATGAACACGGTATGTTCTTCCATCTGTTTATGTCTTCCTCATGATTTCACTCATTTATGGAATATAATGAACAACATAAACTGATGAACAAAAACAGATCCAGAGACAGAGAAGCATCGCTCAGACTGTCAAACCTCAGAGGGAAGGTAGGGGAGGGTGGGGTAAGGAAGAGAGATCAACCAAAGGACTTATATGCAAGCATATAGGCCTAACCAATGGACACAGACAACAGGGGGGTGAGGGCATGAGTGAGAAGGGATGGGGGGTAATGTGGGGATAAGGACACATATGTAATAACTTAATCAATAAAAAAAATACTAAGTAAACTGAATTGGTACTTTCAAAGGACAAGACAATTCTAAATTGTGCAAACAAATTCTTTAGCACCATCCCACGTGCGCTAACATATATAATTCACAACAGATTACATAAAATCTGAAATTTAGTTGAAAATCCAGAACATACACAGATGTCCTCAGTTTACAACAATAAGAATTACATATTCTCTCAGTGACAACCTCAAATCTTTTCACTGAACCATACTAAAGTGGGGGGGGGGGGGGAGGGCGGGACTGTACAGTGGCCTCTGAAAATGAAGAAATTTCATTTTTTGGTCATCCTCTTATAGTTCATTCACATTAAGATTCAACATCCTATTTGCCCAAATGGTTGTTAGGTTTTTATTAGATATTATTCTTAAAGACTTAAGATTATTTTAAAGGATAAAATAACTTGGAATGGGGGTACAATTATTTGCTGAGCAAAACCTTACCAACTGAGCCACATAGCCAGGGCTTGTGTATATATGTGTTTTACTTTTTTAAAACTATTTCTTCTCCAAAATAGCTGTAAAATTGTATGCTAATTTGGCTCAAATATGAATTTTTCATATTATTTACTGACTTTATTTCCTTTTATGTGAATTGCTTGCACTTTTTTCTAAACTAACAGCTTCTTTACCTTTGTAACTGTCAAGTCCTACATACACTTTTCATATTAGTATCTAGGAATCAGAAAAATATAAAGACAGAATAGGTTAAAAAAAAAAGTAGGGAAACAACAGGAAGAAAAAAATTCTAGCTTTTCTACTTACTGTAAACTATCTTGTAGTTCTCAACCTGTAGGGAAACCTGTATCACATAAAGTTTAATGATTACTTATGCCATTTCTTGTACCAAATGGATTAAGAGGGAAATTTTGAAGAAAAAAAAAAAAGGAGATCTTGGAGTCACTAGACCTGATTTTATTTTATTTTTTTAATCAGAGAGGAAGGGAGAGGGAGAGAAAGATAGAAACATCAATGATGAAAGAATCATTGATCGGCTGCCTCCTGCATGCCCCCCCACCCCCCACTGGGGATCAAGCCCGCAACCTGGGCATGTGCCCTTGACTGGAATCGAACCCGGGACCTTTCAGTCTGCAGGCCGATGCTCTACCCACTGAGCCAAACCGGCTAGGCTAGACCTGATTTTAAATTCTGACTCTAATTCTGATCTCTACACCTTGAGTAAAGAAGATCCAACTCCTAATTTGAAAGAGGATGTGTATGCTCAAGTGTCTCAGTGAAACCACCTGATTTTATATAAACACTAGCCCAATCTAGTTAGAAAAATTCTATAACAAAGGAATTCAGATTTTGTTAGAGTGCCTGTTTCCACAAAATAATTCCTAAAAACTGTATTATACTTTTTGGTATATCAAATATTACATAAGGACTAAAAGCAATAGAAAGATCTATGTGACTTTTCTGGTAAACAAAGGAAAACCAGAATAATATAATTCTGACATGCCAAACCAACCCCATATGTAAGTGCAAGGTAAGTGGATTTCCACCTTCAGGGATCACTGTCATTTTCAAAAGAGAAGGGTGAAAAAGATTCAAGAATTTTTAAATGGACTCCACTTATCTCCTCCCCCTACCTTTTTTTAAAAAAAAAAAAACAACCAACTTATTGAATTACAACATTCTTATCAAAAAGTACACACATCATAAATGTACAACTGAAAGAGTTTTAATAAAGCAAATATATCCACATAACTGCCACCTAAGATTTAAAAAAGCAAAAGAATATCAGGATCTCTCAAAAGTCTTCATGTCCTCCCAATCATCCCAGTCAGCTCTTCCCAAATTAAGTACTAGCTTGATTTCTATACCCAAAGATGAATTTTGCCTGTTTTTAAACATTTTTATAAAAATAGAATATTCGTTAATGTCTAGCTTCTTTCATTGGACATTAAGAGAGATTCATCCACATTGTTACAGACAACAGAAGCTTGTTCTTTTGTGCTGCTGTATAGGATAGGATCTCACTGTATAAATAGACCACAATATATTATTCTTCTGTACTGCTGATTTAGGTTGTTTCTAGTTTTTTGCTATTATGAATTGTGCTGTTATGAACATTCGTGGATATGAAATTTGATGAGCATATGTTTGCATTCTGTTGGTATTTACCTAGTAGTGAAATTGCCGTGTCATAGGTATATTCAACTTTAGTAAGTAGTACCAAATATTTTCCCAGAGAAATAGTATACTTTACCATTTTTTTGTGTTTTACTTAAACCTCCATAAACATTAATATGAGTACCTTCTCTGTGGACAAACACAACTGAAGACATAGGACTGAAAATAAAGAGACTCAGACATAGCACCTAGACTATAGGTTACATAGGGACAGACAACATCTCTAAAAGGGGGAAGATGAAACTAAACTTATTAAATGTTCTATCAGAAATAATATATACCTCTGAAAAGAATATTAAGACCAATTTACTCAATGTAAAAACTTCACTCTAGAAATTAATTTGAAAGGAAAAAATAATTTCAAGCACTATCTAATAAAATATACTTTCCAGTCTGGCTGGTGTGACTCAGCAGTTGAGCGTCAACCCAGGAACAAAGAGGACACCAGTTCGATTCCCAATCAGGACACATGCCCGGGTTTGCAGGCTCGATACCCAGTAGGGGACATGCAGGAGGCAGTTGATCGATGATATTTCCCTCTCATTGATATTTCTATCTCTCTCTAACTTCTTTCATTGGACATTAAGAGAGATTCCTTCTACCTTCCTATCTCTCTAAAAATCAATAAAAACATATTTTAAGAAATTAAAATATACTTTCCAATTATTGCTAATGCAACTAAAAATTACACTGTATACAAAAATTGATCTAAAACATTAAAATAAATCCTTTATAACCTAAATGATTACAACAGACTTGTACTTATATAAATCTGGGTGGAGAGTAGAGGTGTCTGAGAGAACATCTGTATAATTTGAGTTAAAAAAATATTTGTACAGGGGTGGGCAAAAGTAGGGATGGAAAAAAACATGCAGGTTATGATTATTACAACAGCTTTATTAACTCTGTTTTGTGTACTCACAATGATAAACCTACTTTTGCCCACCCTGCATATTACTGATATAATTTTAAATTAAGGAT